CACATGACGTTCGTGGGAGGACTCGTTTCCCGTTCATCCACGTCGGATACCTACGTCGGAAGCCCAGGAGAGCCAGCGAGCTGGCCAGCAGCAGGAACAGCAGCACAGTGATGGACCCAGCCAGCACCGGGACATTGATCTGCAAGGACTGCGTGACAATCGCGCTCTCCTCCTGCAAACAGCGAAAATGCCGTATTTTTTCTATTAAAAAAAACTTTTATTTCACAACAGACATCTTACAATGAGCACACACTCTGACGAGTCATGCGATTTCAACTATATAGGAGACGTAAAATACATCATTAATGCTGAATATATAATAGAATAAATCAATAGAAAATAACGATATATACCGAGCGCGCTTTTTTTTTAATGTGGGGGTCAATGGGAGCGCCGGGCACGGCGAGAATGCACTCACGACGCCTCCGGAGCGGGGCAGGCTGGGGTTCCTCGCGGCATCATCCTCAGTCAGGCGGGGCGACTCTGCTTCTACCCGGCCTCCTGCAGGGGACAGACACGGGGCACAGCGGCCTGGCTGCCATCACCCGACTACAGTATGACCAGCCTGGTCCCAGCCCGGACAGCACCGGTCTGAGAAACCAACGCGAGAGGCGCCGCGACACACGGGAGCGAGCAAAGGCATGCAGACACTCAGAGCAGCGGCCCCTGAGAATGGAGAGCGCGGCCACTAGGGGGAGCCGGTGCGTATTGTTTCGTCTAGATCAGAGGTCCCAGTGACCTGATGAAGCCTTACTTGAACAAACATGTGGCTTTTTTGGAGTATTTTTGGCAACTCAAAAGTCTAGGATTTTACATACGAAATGCAAAATTTAAAAGGCAACCCCCTACGTGTTTAAGAGCTGAAAACAGTTCAGTTGTCATGTGCACAGAAAGCATGTTTCCGCCCGGTTTCGAATCGAGGACTTTTCCCGTATGATGCGAAAGTGATTAACTACCACACTACAGAAACTTGGCGCTATACTATGGAAACAGTTAAGTAGTTCAAATTAATACTGTTATCAAGTCACTTAATTGTTCGACTGTGTGACTGGGAGCTAGGCCGGAACTCAACCCAGCAGGTGTGTGGGTCACCCGGACCGGGACTGGGAACGCCCTTTCTAGATGACCCGAACTCCGGTCCAAGAAGACACAGGAGGGTCAGAGCTCCCGCTGTTGTTACCTGTAACAAGGCGCCGAGCACGCCCGCGCATTCATGACGACACAGACCTTTAACACTGAGAGAACAGTTGACACCGTTTGACACGCGTGTATGAGTCTGTGGAAAGCCGTTCTGCACTCCCGGTCCTACGCAGAATAATGTGCGAGGGAGACTGCTGCTGTGGTTTTCGGGAATCCAATGTTTCAATATTGCCAAATGATTAGATATTGCCAAAGCAAGGCAGAATATAGTTCGTTTCAATTGCTCTTCACTTCATCGCCGATTGTTTCTGAATAAACCTCACAGAAAGTAACTTTGTGACATTGTTAGTCACCGCAAGGTTCAGGGGTATAGTGTGCGATAACTACCTCGGCCTAGATGAAGCTGATCATTTAGTTGCGTTTTTGGAATAAAGCATTTTGGGGAGCCGTGTAAAAAATGTTAATCAGGAACTGAGTGGTCTTGAATAGTTTCAACGTTATGGAACAACCCAGGCAATTCAATTTGTATACAAATGCTGAAAACTGAGTCACGGGAGTCGGATTTGGTGATGAACTGTGAAATAAAGTGCTGTTCGGTTACCTAACTAGCTCCGACCGCAGATGCACGACTCTCAGATGACGTGCATGGTGTTTAAATGCGGTTATTTGCGCTAATACGCCCGCCGTACAAAACAGACAGTTGAGGTCTGTTTTTCAACTTCCTTTCGGGTCGGGTGGGATGATGTGAAGCAGGGTTGAATCACAGGACTCTCGGTGAGGGAGACCTTTTTTTTGTAACAACTATTTAGACTGAAACCAGGGGTTACCCCCGGGAAGAGTTCGTTGCTTCTAGATTAAACCCCATCGAGCCGACTGCAATTACCAGTGAGCCAGAGACGCACCATCGCTGGAACAGACATTCTTCCCTTAAATTACAAGTCTAATCCCAGAATCTCCACACCCGCCAGAACCAGAACAGCTTC